TTTTTTCGTCGCGCTGTGATGACATCAAATGCGCGCTTTCGTCGAGCGCGCTTTTGTTGTCCGCGGTTTTGACGGGTCACGGTCATCAAAAAGTGTAATCAATAGAGAATCCTCCTAAATGGAGAATCTATGTAACTTTTTTTTCTATAACGTATCTGCTTGGCAACTGTCTCATTTCTTGATTAATCCATGTGATTTTCTCCAGCAGGTGAGCTATAAAAGGATGAGTAAGCTATAAGTAAACTCACTTACCTCACATAAAGGAATCTCTAAAGTTTTGAGACGGATGTCTATTTTGTGGTACGTATCCAGACAGGGAAGGAGAAAAAACAAGCCTTTGAGGAGAAACAGAACAGCATGGAAGTTACATTATAGGAATTAAGAGCACACTTTTTGATGCTCATTTTATCAAGTTATCATATTGGGACTTTACATATAGAAAAATTGTTGGCTGATCATCAGGTGCATTCTAATCATGTATTTTTTGCATGTATCTCACCCAAATTAAGGTCAACTCATGTTTGAGAAATAGTGGCCATAGTACCTCCAAGATATATGTAAATTTATATGTAATAAATGTGTAACAAATCTCCACTTGGAAACTGTTCGTATTTAAAGTGGTGTGAGTGCAACTATCTTAAACTATCTCCCTCTCAATTCAAGCAGTATATAAAAAAATATAGGGATCATCCCATGGTAATGAAGCTGGTTTTAGTTTCTATCGTATCAAAATGAAATTGCCAATATTCTACCATTTTATTTACTACCCTATTAATTTCATAATTCAACAATGAGACCTAGCAAGGTGATTTGTTCACTATGTATTTTAGCACAACCCTAGTTGTGCCATTGTTTCTCAACAAGGTTGACGCTGGTACCTTCTTTTACAACATCAGTCACCCCAATAGTTCGGTCTATATAGATGTCGTAGAAAGCAGTGTTATATTTAACTTGTGATCCTGAAAAAAATCAAATAATTTTCGTATACTTACCAGGCCCTCTTGGCCTTCCATGAAGAATACGACCAAATCGAAATAAAACAGCTCTCTCATATTCCCGTACAATCTGTCATAAAAAAATGGAGATGAGTGTTGTGGCCCAGCAGGAGCCGTTGGAGCTGCCACCAGACTCCAACGGCGAGGGGCCCTATGAGTCGGCCCTGGAGGAGGTGGAGGACCCTGGCCATCAGGAGGCACCTGGTGGAACCTCTTCTGTAGGTGTGGCATGCTTTCCAGGTCCACTGGTGGAACCTCTTCT